TCTCTCTCTCTCTCTCTCTCTCTCTCTCTCTCTCTCTCTCTTTTTGTCTCCTCTAGCCACCCAAACCATCACCCCGACCACTCTAGCCACCCAAACCACCACCCCGACCACCAAAGCCACCACCGTGGGATCTTATATCCCTGCCCCTCTCTCTACTCTGTCTGCAACTCTCTCCCTGCCCCCTCCCACAGCCAACCAACCCATCCACTCTAGCCACCCAAACCACCACCTCGACCTCCATAACCACCACCGTGGGATCTTATACCCCTGCCCCTCTATGTACTTTCTCTGCAACTCTCTCCCCGCCCCATTCCACAGCCCACCAACCCAGCACTCTAGCCACCCAAATCACCACCCTGAGAGAAGGAAAGAGGAAGAAAAAAGAGAAAAAAAAAAAAAAAAAAAAAAAAAAAAGAGAAAGAAGGAAAGAAGAAAAATGAGGAACAAAGAAGGAAAGAAGAAAAAAAAAAGGGAGAGAGAAGAAACAGCGAAGGAAAAGAAGAAGAAAAGAGGAGGAAAGAGAGGAGAAAAAAAAAGAGAAACAGAGAGACAGAGAGAGAAGGGAAGGAAAAAATATATATTATAATTTTGGATTGATTTGACGATTATACCCCTAGATTTAACGGTTTTTTGACAGAGGGACTATTTAAGAGTACCTGTATTAACGTTAGGGACCATTAATGATACAAAAAAACGTTAGGGATGCAATGCGATAATTTCGCAAACGTCAGGGACGTTTTGTGATAATAAGCCTATTAAAAAAGAAGGACCTGCCTTGCTCTTAGGTGCCCACTGCCCATGTGTCAAAAAGTGTATAGTCGCGCTGCTATACTATTTTTTTTCTTTCAAAAAACCATAGTATAGCTGGGCGGCGGTACTACTTTTTTAATAAAACCGATTATAGTTTTGCAGCATCAGCATCCTCTTTCCTATTTATTGGTAGGACAAAAGGGTCACGACGAGCAAGGGCAGCTGCAATTGTTAAGGCAGGATTGAAAGATAGAACACATTAGAAGCATCTTCCCAATGTTTGGATCCCATGGTAGTGTGCAAAGATAGCTGTAATTTCTTTAAAAAAGTATTAATGTTGGAACTGCTGAAGCTAAAGTTTAAAAGCCTTATACATTCATTGATTATAAGTCTATGTTATTCAATATAAGCAGGTAGATTTCAATGGGAATGAAAATGATATTTAGAATGATATGGACTGCTGGATTGCCTCAAATAATTCAGGTAAAGGATCCTTCTTGGAATCTTGCTGTCTCCTTCTTCTCCTGGAATTTCCCCCTTCCAAGTTGTCAAACTCTGACTTGACAATATAACGAGTTTTCTCTAGAATGTCTTCTAGAAATAATTCTTCCACAGGGAAAGTTAATCCTGTCATTTGTCAACAAGAATACATTTAAAACAACATATAATTTGAAAATCCCAATGATACAAGTTTATTAAAAGGAAGATGCTTATACTGGTATATGTATTGTTGGGGAATTTCCAAAGTACTTGGAGAACAAGTCCACATTGATGGTGGCTGCACTTATATCAGAAAAATTGTATTACCGACTGTCGAAGTAATACTCCAGTGTTGCAAAATTCACGTATTGATAACCAACAGTTTCACCAAGATTCTCTTCCCTGTCAGAGGATATATGAGCTGCAACAGACACAGCAGAAATACGACGAGGTTGTGTGCATATATTATGTTGCAGTCAGTATCATGTAGACGTGAAATCTCATCTTCTAGAATAAATTGAGGAAAGTGTTGTTTGAAAAGTGAAGCAATTACCAAGAACACTCCAACTCAGCATGCAATTCTCTATGACAAATAATGTGTGCAATAACATAATTTAGTTTGGTTGGTTTTGCAAGGCATTGCAAACATGTTTGAGTTCCCACATTGGAACACTAGAGTTCCTTTGGAAGTCTTTATAAAACTTACTCTTGGAAATATAGTAGTTTGTATTGGCTATGCAAGTGGCCCAATTGAGTGGCTTGTGGGTATGGCCTATTGTTAAATGCCTATTTATTTGGGTCAATGGTTAATCAATATATTTAATTAATCAAAAGATGGGCCTTGGGTGGCTTGTGGGTACGTACGTATTTTTCAATAATACATTTGTGTTCTATACACGTCTCAAGTTTTTTAAAAAGCAAATGTACAATAGTTGTATTGTACATGTACGTATGTATTTTTAACATTTAATACATGTATTTTTTTACAAAATTTTCAGTAAAACACACAAAATTCACGTAGTATACAAATAATTCTCACATATTATTGAATAAGAATAACATATGTTATAAAAAATAATATACAGTGGAAGATTAATATCTACTTTGGATATGTTGAAACTAGCAAATTAATAT